TGGAACTTATAGTTATCTATTGATTCATGCAATTTTGTTCTTTCTGCTGGGTTTTGTCAGGTGTTACATGGGGATGATAATACAAAACACACAAGATGGTGATTTTCAAATGGGACCCTGTTGTGGAATGGAAATGGAAAATTGAATTATTCAGAGGGTTAACCTATTATTTTTGAAATTAGGTACTTTGAAGTAGGAAAATTTTTTTGGGGGGGATAATTTTTGCCAAGATGTGTAACAAGTTTACTTTTTTTCCCCCTCTGGATGTTGTGTTTAAAAAAATTATTTGAAAACTGGGGAAAACGGGATGACTTGTAAGCAATAAATGTCAATTCTACTACAGTTTTTTTGACAGAAAATGCAGTTTGAACAGTTTCATTACAATTTTTTTGGACTTGTATAATTATGAACTATTTTAGATTTTCTTTTTTCTTGGAAAATATTAAGGACATCTGCATTTTATCCTTTTTAGTAAAATATTACTATCCTTTTTTGTCAATGATTTGTGTTTCTGAAGAAACCATTATTCCATCAGAATTAAATTGATGATTGATTTTTTCCTATTTGTTATGGTAAAAGAGCTTGGTCATAGAAGGATTTTTTAATAGAGTCAATTGATGAAAAATCCTAATGGATTTCAGGTACATTAAAAGCAATTCTTTCACATCAACATTAATAGGAAATTTGAATTATCCCAGATGTCACTTCACAGATGCAGTATTTAAAGAATATTTTTTAATTGCTCTGGCTTATCTGGCTTGGATTGGCGTGTCTGAAATGTTCCTCAGGTGTTGATCACCCCAAAAAATCTAGTGAGGTTTATCTAAGTGGTTACTGTGACAGTAAAAACACGAAGTGCTCAGCTACACAGCTATCAGCTACTGTACACAGCCTGTAAAACTTCATGGGCTACAGATTGAGCTGCAGATACGTGATCCCATATTCCCTGGGGTCACTATTATAGGGCAGAGACAAACTGCCTTATCATTAACTCTGTAAATGAAGAAGCTGTGTATGAGACCACTGGAGCAAGTTAAGAATAATATACACATTTTTTTTAACTGCTTTTAAATTTTTTCTTTCTGTTCTGAGGTAGTAATGAAATTTCAGGCTATTCCTCCAGGATGTGCTGCTGGTTGCATCTGAGAACTGATGTTTCTGCCTATCGTGGGTCTATAAACTCTGTTTAAAAACCCCCAAATCCTAACACCTGAATTTTTCAAGCTGTTAGACAGAGATAGGCATTGCTTTGGCTGCTTGTCCCCATACGAATGGCAAGATTTATGACTCTTCTGTCTGCTTATCTGAAGGCTTGCAGTGCATTCCTCAATTTGATTATTAATAAGGCTATCCTGAATACAAAGTGAAGCAGCAGTAAAGAAAAGCCTGCTTGGGAGGGAGCAACATGACACAGTATGCTATGACAGCCTCTGGATACCACTATCCCTTCATAATTGAGTATATCTGAAATGGAAAGCCAATTTTTTTTATTTTTCTTTCCATTTTATAAAAAAAATACAATGTAATTAATGGATTGACTCCCAGTATTAAGCCAGTGGATTGCATGACACAGTATTTAAAAATAGTCATTGTTTTAATTTTTTTACTATTTTTGCATACTCAGTAACAATTAGGAACACAATATTAAATTTAAAGTTACTGAATAAGTTTGTATTTCTTATGCAGCAGTAGAAAAGCACCATTTAAAATTTTTCATTCTTGTCAATGCTTGAACTCATTTATGTGTCTTTGCTGAGCATCCCGGAAACATCTAATGCATAGACTTCCAAGCAAACTGACAGGGTTTCTCCATCTCGAGGATGAGGATCTGTTTTTTTAATTTATTCTGATATTCAGAATTCAGACGTGTCTGTCTGAGCTCCTGGTCTTAGAAGTTGAGTTCAATTTAAACTAAATAAATGTTCAATTAAACAATGGTGTGTTTGTATGTGCTGTATCAGCTTGGCCAAAGCTGCATTCACTGCTGAGGAACCTGGCATTTTCAGTCATTTTGCATATTATTAGGACATGAAACACTTTTGAGAACCAGTTGATTTGAGTCTCTTAGTGTGAAGGTTATGATGAACCTGCCAGCATCCAAAAAATTTTGTTATATATTTTACTAAACTGAAATGAAAGGAACCTAGTGGATTTTTGGCAACATACAGCTTAGAAAATAGCTAGGAATCTTCAAATATATGGTCTACTTTATATTCCTCTAGAGTTCATTATTTTTATTTTCAGTGTCTACCTAGTGCAAAATGTGAAAATATTCAGGAGGAGAAAATAAGTTTTCCTTCCTCCTAGCAAAATACCTAATGATAGAATAATAGAAACAGGTTATTCTACTTCTCTTTTTCTTAGGACTGGAAATATACCCTGAAACAGACGGACCATGTGATGCCAGGTTTGGGGGTTTTTTATCACAGGGATAGAGAATAAGTCAGTGAGTGAGGGAAGAAATCACTGAATGGTGTATGTGGACAATTCCACATCATGGCCACTCACAGGAGGTGTCATCTTCATAAAATTGTCTTGCTATGTGATGGACTGTCACTAACATTAAGAGTTACCTAGATAGACAAGGTCAAAACAAAATTTCTCTTCCTCCCTTTTTTTTTAATGCTGAGAGTAGTGGCTGAATCTTTGACAGAGAATTTCCAGTCTCAGGGATTTAGAAATCATTATAATGAAAAATGCTGATTTTTAAAGAGGGAAGGTTGTATTGAGCTTCAGACACATGGCTATTAGAGAATAAATCTTCCAATGTAAAACTTCAGGAGAACCAAGAAACTATAATGTTTATTTCTTTTAATTAATTTAGCTTGGGATATAGTTAGGATTTCCTAATTGTTTGTGTCATACTGGTTTATTCAAATATAATTGAATAACTGCCCTCCAGATGCCTAAGGAAAGCCTATGAAATCTATCTTAATTTTAATTTTGTTAATGGAAACGTTTTTTTATTGTGTCTGAATATCTATACTTATAATTTAACTAAGTTTTGGATTTCTGCAGCAATTTAAAAGTATTTTCCCCAAATCAAAATACTATCCTCCTATATGTGACCATTTGAATTGCAATGCTTAGATTCTGTAAGTTTTAGCAGCACAAAAGCTTGTCTATTAGAATGTTTCCCTGAACAGAGCACTCCATTAACTTCAAAAGCAGTAGGTTGCCTTTCATGTTCATATTCCATTATTGTGCAAATAAACATGGTGGGGTTTTTTGAGTTTTAAAGTGTACTAGGCTTATATATTTACTGAACACTATCTAAGTTTCTTTGGCTTGAGCTCTGACAGTTTTGTTAATATTGGTTACTGAAGATATTGAAATTTTCCTTAACAGTCTGCTTTTCCCTTCATTGCCTCTTTTTCAGTTTGAAATGACTAAAGCTTAAATAATTATTAGTCATATCTTATCTCAGTGGCAAGGGCTTGTGCTTTTAAAGTAATATTATATGAGCATCTGCTCCTATGGCTCTTGCCAGAATTTATAAAGCTGATCTGCAGGAAAAGAAGGTTAACACCTCAGTTTTGTAGTGAGAAATGTATTGCAAGAGGAAGAGTATTTGTAAAACCAAACAGCCTTTTCTATTTAATACTATCAATAAATAGTAAATACACATCTTTTTGCTTTACCAACAATTTATGTGCTTGGTTACTCACAAGACTGTTTACAAACTGACTGCAGTTTTTGAAGTTTAGTTTGATCCAGACACTGGAGATTCAGATTCTGAGAACTTCCTGATGAGAAAGTAGCAGTGTTGAATAGAATTTTTTCAGACAGTACGAGTCCAAGAAGCAACACTACTATGGAAATGAATGAATACAAGCAAGGAGAGAGTGAATGAGCAACATTCCTTTGAGAGGCACAATACTGACTTGTAATTAGTGATCCTGTGATGGCCATTGTCTGTCCACTAGAATTGACATGTCTCTGTTGAAATGAGGGCTGAAGGGAGCATAAGGACACTGATCATTTTTCTGAGGCATTCCCTGTCACCACAGTAAGGACATATCTTCAAATTACTTTTATTGTCACAGTATCCTTGGCTTTTCCAGATCCAAGAATAAATTATGTTACCTCAAAGTATGTATAAATTTACATTCTATGGACAATGATATCTCATTAATGAGAAAAGCTGATGCAGAGCATTTTCTCACAAACATATTTGCTGCATTTAAGATGAAGGTTGGCTCAAAAGTGTTCTAGAAATTTTTTATTATTTGAGGCATGTCCTACTCTGGTAGCATGCCTTGTTTTGGGATATTTTCATTGCAGGCTAGAGGTTATGCAGGGTGTAGTTTCTTGGATTCTTGTATTTACTGAGAATGAAGTTAACATCTACTTGCACTTCAGGGCAAAACAGCAAAATCTGAACTTTTTGCTCAACATATTTACCAGTTCAGGCAAACAGTCATGCTAAAATATCTCTCCATTTTAGTTTCTGGAGACAATTTGAGGCATCCCAGTTCTATGCTCCTTTGTATATTGTATTTTCAGTGAACTGCCAAGTTCATTATTAATATATTTTGAATAGCAAGAATCCATAAGTCTCTCTTCCACCTGCCACACACATGTAGTTTGTGGAAGCTCTGGAAGGGACAAATGTATTCATTTCAAGTTTAATTATATAAAATAGTAACAATAGTGATAGTAGCGATGTAATAATTAAGTATACTTCATCCCTCTCCTATTTTGCTTCTAAATTGTGCGGTTAATATATAATGCTGCACATTTTTTATTCACAACACAAAAATGAGTATTGAATGGAAAAAAGTAACAGGCTTTCCTTAAGGTAAGTTCTAATTGTTGCTGGTTTACTTATTGCTTGACTCAAAGCTCATCAGAATCATGAGTTGGGCTGTATCAGGTTTATGGAATTAAATACTTTGGGCTGATGAATCTTTTCCAAAAGGATTATGAAGGATGCTATTTTATGCCCTTTTTGCTTACTAGTGGTTTTTCTTGTTCTTTTTTCTTTGTTCCTCTACCAGGAGGCATTTTTGAGTGTGTGGAATCTGGTCCAATGGGAGCAGAAGAATTAGCCTTCAGATTTGCTGTGAACACAATCAACAGAAACAGAACTCTTCTGCCAAACACCACATTAACATACGACACACAAAAGATAAATCTTTATGACAGTTTTGAAGCTTCCAAAAAAGGTAACCTTTTGCATATTTAGTTTTTTTAAATGAAGGACTAAGTCTCACTTAATTTACTTACCTGAAAAAATGTCCATCTGATGAAGCCATATGCAATGAGACTGACATTATTGTCATTGACATTAAAGAGCTGCTTTATTGAAGGTTGTAATGGTAACTGCTTGACAATTACATTGCCACCTTTGCTCCCACAAACCCTATCTAAAAGCTATTCCCTTAAATATTTACAATCTGAAATTAATTTTGCTGAACAATGTGACTAGGGTGTTTCTTATATCAGTTCCTTTGAAGTGAGAAATCTCACTGTCTTCAAAATTTATCCAGCAAAATGTCAAGTTCCCCAAAATTCTGCTGAAACTGGAATTCAATTTTAAACATTCACTCACTTCAAGTACATTTTCACAAATGCCTTTATATAGTTAATCACAGACTTTGAAAGGGGAGTAGTAGTTGTAATTTTGTGCATCTTATACCAGTATGGCATAAAAATAAGCTAAATATTAAGTCTGTGCTTAAGATTAGCACTATCAGATACATGACTCGGCCTGAGTTAAGCTCTTTTTGCCTAACTATAAATTATATGTTTACAGAAGAATTAAGAGTAAAATTTAAGTTTGAACATTTTTTATAAATTTTTAAATCTTTGATTCTCAAAAAAAGAATCCAAATTTTCAGATTTCTTTACTTTTAAGTCAGGAACAATAGACACAAATTTCTGCATCATTGTTGTATCCTAGAAAGTGGAAACACCAAAAAGTTCAATAAGTATTTATGGAAGATAGTACAAAGCCTCGTGTCAAAACTTGGTAAGACTGAATTTTGCACTGTATTACATGCTCTTTAAAAACACTTTTCTTATAAATTGAAGAGCTAATTTCATATGAATGCTATATGCAACAAAACAATAAGAAGGGTGAAAGAGTTGTAGGTCAGCCTGCGTTTCTTTTGGCAGGTTTCTAGCCTAAATCTGTCAAGTGATCTGGTCCCAGCATGTCTCTCCCAAGCATTAAAGACAAAAAGCTTTATACAATAAGGGATTTTTGATGTTATGGTGGGCTAAGAAGAGTGAAAACACTTGATACAACATTAGATATTATGCATAAGGGAAAGCTCTTGTTTGATTAATGTACATGAAGGACATCTCAAAAGTGGAATCTAATGCTAATTAAATATTCACTTTAGAACTGAAGGGAAATTTTTTTTGCTTTTACTATAACAGATTAACAGAGAATCTTGCTAACCTGTTTGTCTGTTTATTTGACAAGTAAATAATACAAATATAGATTAGTGTTAGGCATGAAAAGAGAGTATCCGTATTTGTACAGGAATACAGTTTGGTCATTGAAAGATTATTATGAAAAATTGTCATGAAAATTGGTCATTTTTCATGTATGAAAAATTATAGGCTAAACATTTATGCCTAGCAAGATGGTTTCTTTGCAGAGTAGCATGTCTGGTAGAAGAAAGAGAAAATAAATGCACTTTTAATAGAGTATCTTTGAGTTGTTATTCTAGTGGTTTGGGTGATGGATTAAAGTGGGTTTTGAGAGAGACTACTCTTTCCTTTCCATCTCAGCCAATAGTGAATAAAAGTGCTGAATCTTTATTCTGTTTCTTTCATTCTCCTTTTCTTGTCACCTTCCAAATTCAACTGCTTCCTGACTCCTGCACATGCTGACCTGTGAAATCTAATGGGACATTTCCTCCCTGTTCCTGGGGGAGGATGCAGACAGCAGAGAAATTTCTCCTGAGATCTCTAATTCTTTAATTCTTTCCTGAGAAAATGCAACTACTTTTAGTCCTTACCTGGGGTTTGCTAGCCTGAATATTATGTTGCTAATTCTTGTTAGACTGTAATAGCTGAAATTAGAATGACAATGTGCTATTGATTAGACATATTGAATAGAATGCATATATTCCTTTTTCCCAGTTGCATCTTGGATGAGAAAGCAACATTTTATTTGTAACTGCTCATGCTGTACCAAAATCTGTGTAATCTTCTAGTACTAATAGCTTTTTGCATCATCAATTCACAATACAGACAACTGCATTTGTGCTCACAGGTGCTTTAGTTCAGAATCAGAGGCTAAAGGTTAACACAAAATGGTTCATTTTATTATGATGGATACAAAGCAGAATTTTAACAATGAAGTTTAAGCATTTGACTCATTTTTGTGGTTCATTATCATGTCCATTAGTGAGCAGGCAGGCACTGCATCAAAAATAGCCTGTTTAGACCTCTTATTAACACATACTTTTGAAGTTGAATATAGATGAAATATTAATGGCTTTTTAAAGGTACTATATGAATAAGCAACCTGAAGTCAAGAAGATATTTCTAAGTTACTGTTTCAGTGAAGAATAATGTAAATGCAACAAAATATCCCTCAACATTCTGGGAAAATTGGTATGCATCTGATAGAGCCAGTGCCATATTAAATCACGTGTGAAAGCGTTGCATTATTCAAATCTCAGAAAGGGAAAAAAAAAAGTCCATTGAAAAGCCATCTGGTAGCTATTGCTGTTGTTAGTGATCCCATTTACTGACATTTGCATAAAGCTTGTTGATTACTCTTAGGAAGGGCAGTATTAGCATAAATGTTTTTTTTATTGAGCTAGTCATTTAGGCAACACACCGAATAGCAATGAAGATCTTGTGTTTCTGACAAGTTTATTTAAACCACCGGTGCTCTGCAGCAATAAAAAGGTGTGCCAGCATAGTTTCTGGAATGCTCTTGAAAGACTTAGCCATATTTTCATCAAGTTGAAAAGAATGTGCACAACAATTAATTTTGAATTGATGAGAAAAGCAATGCAGCAAGATGTATTTCTACTGCTTGTTTCCTCAGCTGTCAGGAACACTGATGGTGGAGTAACAGAATTAATCAAACCCAGTATAAATACTCATGTCTAGTTTGGTTTTCATTACTTCTCTCTACAAAGTGAGTTGTTTTCCCAAAAGACAGAGTCTGTTTTTCAGAGCTGTGTACTTATAAAAGTTATGCCTATGGTAGTGAGTGAGATAGGAGCAGGGCATTGGCCGAAACTCCGGTCTTTGGTATTGATTATTTTTTCCTGCCTTCTTTTTGGCATGTTCTAACAAATATTCAACAAGGTGATACTGGAGTGTACTGTGGGAGATTATACAGACCAGAGACTGCTAATGAACAGTACAGGTAGGGCCACTCTGTACCAGAAAACAGGAAGCTGAGCCACTTGAATGCAGCAGTATTATGTCAGTGGCTCTCAGGGACAGTTTTGTATACAAGTATAGCAAAACTGAGCATTTCCAGTTTTTAAGAAGGGACATCTAATTTTTTTTCGCTAACAGACAACAATTTAATTTTAGGGAAAAGATTGGTCCTTTAATTGTACTACCAACATACCTATTTCAGATACAGAAAGTCAAATGTCCATTTTAATGAAATTAACTCTGTGCCTGATAATTGACTGTGGGGTACTTCACATGTAAAATTTCTGAGTAATTAGGACTTCAGTAGAAGTAGTGGTGACTGATTGAGGAGGAAGTTGTCACTTAAATAACCCAGATTAGGATACTGTCCTATTCGACCCTTTTCTAAATGCAAGAAGCAGCTAAGCACAAACCTATTTTATTCATCAGAACTTTTAAAAAGACACATGATTGCTGGCCTTTATAGCTTCCACTGACATAGGAATGTTTAATGAACATAGCTGAGCACTATTTAGATGTTAAGAGTCAATATTGATCAGTTTATAATGAAAGCTTGGAAGCATATTCTGAAGTTGAAATGCGTAAGTGAAAGTGTTACACAAGAAGGGAGCTCTGTCAGCAAGACAGTCATATTTCATGGAGTGCCTTGTGTTCGATATTGTGCAATACCTTCTGGCACACTGCCTTTTTTCCTCTCATCATTGACAGACTTCTGTCTCCTCTTCAGCCTGTGATCAGCTGTCCCTCGGGGTGGCAGCCATCTTTGGCCCGTCCCACAGCTCCTCAGCCAACGCCGTGCAGTCCATCTGCAACGCCTTGGGGGTTCCTCACATCCAGACCCGCTGGAAACATCAGGTGTCAGACAACAAGGACTCCTTCTATGTCAGCCTCTACCCGGATTTCTCTTCGCTCAGCCGTGCCATCCTTGACCTTGTGCAGTTCTTCAAGTGGAAAACAGTTACTGTTGTTTACGATGACAGCACTGGTAAGGCCAAAGCATCAGGCTGTGTGCAGATCCATTCTATACATACACAAAGAGAGGGAGGAAGGGTGTCACTACTCATATTCCATAATTTAAGAAATAGTTTGCAAGAATTTTATGGGCAAGGCAGTGTATAACAAATAATGTGGACTTATTAGCATAAGTATTCTCATAAGTATGCTTCAGTTGCTGAATTCTGTGTGTTTGAGCTCACAGCTGTCAATAAATTGGTCACACTCTGTCTGTGTTTTCTGCAGTGTCTTAACAGTTGCTAACAGCTATGTCTTTTGGTTTTACTTAAAACTTAAACTTGGAAGAAAAATATAGTAACTTGAAAAATACACTAGTGTACTCAGTGAAGTAGAAATCTTAAATTCTGGTGCTGCTTCTGGTGTTGGTTGAGTTTGAAAACAGATGCCATATTTGTTTGGAATTTTAGTATCTGTTTCTTCAGATAGAAGTGAAGAAAGAGCCCTGGTTTCAGCTTCTAGCAGTTGGACCAAAAAGAAGTTTGGAGGCTTGTTTTACAGATGAATTACAGGAGTTAAAATTAACTCTTGAATTTTCCAGCAGAAATATACTAGGTTATTATCTTTCCCTTAGTCATCCTAAAATTTATTTTGCCTTTCAGTTTCACCTTGACAGGGGTACCTTTGAAAAATGCTGTACAACTTACATTTCATTTGAGGTAGAGTGGTGGTTAGAAATAAGACTTTGGTTAAGAGGAAAATATCACTGTAATGGAAGATACAAGGAAGGTGCTTGGCCAAAGAAGACATATTAAATCTTATGGGAAATGCTGGTAACTTCTTCCATGCTGGCTGATCTGTCATTGTCAAGAAAAGAGCATAGGGAGCCTCAAATTCTTCTCGTGGTTCATTGAACCAGAAGGCTGCTGATGTCCTCATTACATGAGACTACTCTCTATCCAAATCTGAAATTAAAAAAACAGAATCAGGAAATAAAGTGAGGCTACCTGTAGGGAAGACTAACTGTGCTAGACCAGCAGCAGTTACTGCACCAGGACAGAACACCTGCCTGCAGTTCAAGCTCAGATAAGATGCATGTGTAGCTACCAAAAGGTGAGGAGGGAGCAGAGAAGATGGTGCATAAAAGTCCTTATAACTGATATTTTTTCTTTGTGCCTTTTAAAAAATTGTAAGGCAGGGACATTTAGAGGCTGCCTCACTACAAGTTTGTTGGCTGATGTTACCAAAAGTTTCAGGTAATCAAACTTTTGATTTCAGCTTTAAAATCAAACCATAGCTTTATAGACCTAAGGCAAGCAATATGTAGCTTGTTTGTTTGGTTTTTTTCCCCCAAATTTTTATCTATTATTGTTCTGAAATAGGAAAGGAAGTTAAATCCTCAAATTTTAACCAAATTATGGTAGAAAGAAGTGAGTTGTGGTGATTAAGGTTTGTGTAAATTGGAGATATTTCACCTTGATTAAAATCCTTTGGAGTCTAGCTCTTTTTTTCAAGAACAGGTTACCTCTTAAAAAGTCAATTCCATTAGAAAATTCATATGTTTTAATACTTTGAAACTGTTTTGCTTAATAATTTCAAGTAATTCTCTTCTGTCCAAAAAAAAAAAGTAAACCAATAGAATACTTCATGTTTAACGATCTCTTCATATCCAGAGATATGTTGTTGGCAGCCTTGATAGACCTGATCTCAATAAAACATGTTTTGAAGCCAGGACATAAATAAAAATGGGAAAGAAAATTAAAAAGAAGGTTTTCTTGTGTATATTTTGATCTACTTGCTCTACTTGGTATTACTGTTAATATTTGAGAGAGAAAAATCCCCAAAACATAACCTCTTTTAGAACAATTTTTAAATAAATTTCACAATGAATTAGTAGATTGAGTTATTTAATCTATCTGAAAAGTGTAAAGACTTGTTCCAGGATATAATCTCTTTAAAATGATATTTCTTTCTGGACTGGCCAGGTCCTTTATATTATAATACTGCTTGTTCCCATAATCTCACCTACAACATTATTTGTTTTTCTCTTGAAATCTATTTCTGTCTGAAGAGGCAGAAAAAAACTCAGTCTGTTTTAAAAAGGTTATCTTCTCTCTTTTTTTGTGGTGTTTTCCCTAAAATGAACTTAAATTCAACTTTTTAAAGACTGTCAACTTCTCTTTGTTAGTAGCATCTCCTATGGATAATTCCAGGACTTTAAAAGCAAATGACCCTGCTGGGGAGTCCACAGCATCACTTGCTTTTGAAGCACATACAGGAACAACTCAGCTATGAGAAACTATTAGTCTTAAAGAAGCAGATTTTACATATCTGCTGGAGTTTCGGTGCAAGCTGATGGTTTTTGAAGCAGGAGGAGAGGAAACTTTTGAAAGGAAGTAGTCACTTGATTTTGGGAAGTGGTTCTCTCCTGTCATAGGGTAAGACAAATATTCAGTTATGAGTCTGGGACTGGAGCTCAATATGATGTTTCAACTAAGATTTAGAAATTGTGTTGTATGACTTGTGCCATTTAAGATCTAATTACAAATCATTAAAATGAAGGCAATGAATACAAAAATATTTATCAGTGTTAATGTCTGTTTCATCCATTTGATCAGTGATTCCTTAATGAAAAATGGATATAATTTTTAATTCCTTTTTTCTTTGTTTCTCTTTTCATCACCTACATTTTGCACTCCTTTATTGGATGGTTGTTGAGGATGATGATGTGTGCCTTTTTTAATGATGATTTTAGAGCTATGGATTTCCTTTATCTGAATGGACAATTCCCCAAAGGGCATGCTGGTCAAGACATTAATATGTTGGTGTAGCACCTACAGTGATAATTTAATTGGTAAAACTAATATTTTTTGGATGTTCATATTTGCTTTATATATTTTTATTATTATTGTAAACATGGATACAAAGGCAGCTAATACTTTTATTATAGAGAGGAAGAAAAGGTATAAAGCATGCATAAACTAGATCTCAATACTTCTCCAACAAATTATCAATTTCCCATATGTCAATGTCCTGCAAGATGGCAGGTTGACTCTGAGGAAAAGCATGATTTCATGTGATAAATACATTCTAAAAATGTGTTTATCTCCTTAAATATTAGGGCTCAGCTTAATGAATTTTCTAAAGAATTGCTAACATTTTGTAGTAATAAAGGAGAGATCACCTGCTTCAGAGCTAAAAATAAAAAATTGTGTCCATGTTCTTTATCTCACTGTGGGATATATCTTCTAGGGTAAAAACAAATGGTAAAACTGTGTGGTTATTTGACACTTTGCAGACAGTAAAAGGCCATGTTAGCTCGAGTGTCACTCCCAGAGACCAATACTCCAAGTGCACCATTCAGCTGCCCCTGGACAGCACCATCGTGTCCAACTCTATTTAATCCCCCAAGTTTCTACCTTGTTTGAAGGAAAGCCATTTATGTGACTGATCCATGTAAGTGTAGAAGAAGTCTGCCATACTATTTTTTGTGTCTTTCAATCCACAGAGCAGCTGCCTTCAAAAAATTAAGGTGAGGTATCCCTGCCTCTGAGGATGGGATTGTTACTAGAGGATGTTTAAGGTTCCTTCCAACCAAAACTATTTTATGATTCTATGAGATGTATGAAATAGATATTTGTATTTGGTCTGGATCTAATTTGATTTGAGATTGGGTGGTATGAAGGTGGTAAAGGGGAAGTCAGTGCTCGTTTAGAGCCCAGTTTGAAATAAGGGAGAAAATTTGGTATCCCAGTCTCCCTTTGTAATAATCTTAGAGATTACTCCTAAGAACAGACATGAGTTTGTTGTCTCCCTCTTTGAAGCATTCTCCCTATATTCTCCGAGAAGGAATAGCTGTACATCTTACTCCTAATTTGAGAAAAGGCATAAGTTGTTTTTAATACACTGTGGGTAGTAACTAGACCCTGGCCCATGCTCTATGATGCAGAAGTGGCTAAGTCAGAGAAGATGAATGTCTGCAGTCCAGCTATTGCTCCTCATGTTGGACTGAGCCTCAGAGTACTGGTTGTTTCTGTGCTGATCAGACCTGCCTCGTGTTCAGGAGTGTGTGATGAGGAATGCAAGATAGCTTGCCACAGAAGAAAACAGAGGTTGTGCCGTGCTGAAATAGGTACAGGGAGCTTCTAGAGGGATATGATCAATAACAGCAGAGTGAGAAAGATCTGGTTGGGTACAGTGTAATAAGGAAGACTCCAGACTGTACAAATAAGATGAAGTAGATGAATAAACTAGAGAGGTTAATTCTACCTTGACTCGGTAAAAAGAGACGCAGTTTTTACTGTTGGGATATGGTAATAGAAATTAAAATGAACATAGAATGGACAAAGGTTTTAATATTACAATAAAGCCTCTGCCCTGGTAGAATTTTATGGAGTAGGTATTGTTGCACTGAGTAGATGGGTTTTTTCTTTCAGGAAATTAGAAATCTGTGAGTCCTTTTTTTGTGGATCTCTGGTTTAAGAGTCCTGCACTGACTTTCATTATTTTAATTTTTTCCTTTACATTAAATAATAGCTACTTTCTGCTTCTTTCTTTGATTTAATTTCCTTTTTTTTTTCTATCAATCAAGACTTTTTTAATATATTTGTACAGGCTCTAAAACATTTTTCTTTCTAAAAAAGATAAATATTGCTTCTTTTAAATGGAAAAGCATATTTCTTTTAACTAGGATTTCCTGTTAAAAAACAAATGCGGAAACAGACAAAACCCCAGCAAAAATCCACCCCCCCAAGAAAAAACCCAAACAACAACAACAACAAGAAAAAAACCCAAACAAAACAACCAAAACTCAAATCTAAAAAACCTCCTAGCAGGATGTAATGAGAGGCCAGTTAGTTTTTTTTCTCCCTTAAGTAATTTATGGTCTCTTTGTTAATTAAATTCCACTAAACTGTCCCTGGACGCTAATTAAGTCCTTACAGATTTACAGATTTGCTACAGTCAGTTGTCTTTAAGAAAGAAATGTGGAAAAATGACAATATGTTTGTTATCTGCATGTCCTAATGGATTTAA